TGTTGTTTTTTTTCTTGTTGTTTTTTTTTGGGGGGGGGTGTTTTGTTTTGGTGTTTGTTGTTTTTGTTGGCTTTGTTCGTTTTTGTTTTGTTTTGTTTTTTGGTGGGTAGGAATGTTTTACGGCGCTCGCAACTGCATAAGGATATACGAGCACGCAGGACACATTAAACATTTTCAGTGTGGTAATCTGTTTCTTACTAACCAACTAGCTAAACACCAGTGTGTCATTTTTTGTGTGACTGGCTGCACTGTTTACTAGATACAAATTGGTCTTTCCCAGTGATCTTTACAAGCACAACTACAGTCGAACCTGCCCGTGTCGACCACCCATTGTAGAGGAAAAAAGTGGTTATCTTAGATTTTTGGACATTGTCTTTGTAATTTTTTTTTTTTTTTTTTTTTTTAAATTTTGGGGGGGGTTGGGGGGTGTTTTGTTTTTAAACAGGTGATTGTTTTGGGCAGGAGGTGGCTAGAGCAGGTTCGACTGTACGTACCAAAATAAAAGTAGGAAGACAGAGGAAATATACAAAGGCACCACACAGTCTGAAGTGGACACCACATTTTAAACATCACGTTATTTTGAACCAAGGTTTCGGCGAGTTTGAGTCATGATAATCACTTTTACACGACAACGGCCATTTTAGTTCGGGGGTGGGGGGGGGGGTCAAAAGAGAGACAGGCTGAAAATAAATAACAGAGGGAAAGAAAAGAGGCACCACCCAACAGTGAGGCCACGACCAATCCCCATCCCTAGCACGATCCCACTTAATACTTCTGATGTCCATGTGCAATATTCTGCCCTTTGAGTATGACGCACAGAAAAATTAAAAGGTGTCGAAATATTGTCAAAAGGCTACCCCGTGATGTTGTGAAGTGGAAAGTGTTTGTTGGTGGCCTGTACCTTGCTCCAGAGAGAAAAAGGCGATGGTGATGATGATTATTATGATGGTTCCGCCCTATGAGTCAGAGTGAGACATCGTGCCACGAGATGACAGTTTCTATGCATCAACCCTCCCCCACCCCCACCCCCCTTCCTTTTTCTTTTCCAAAACAAACCGGCAACCAACATACTTATGAGTCGTAAAAGGGGGGGGGGGATACAGTAGGCACGACGAAAATGACCGATTTGCATATTGCACGTGCATGTACTAACCTACTAACTACTAACCGGGTGTTTAATGTGTGATTCCAGCCGTTACTCCAGGCGCTGGTACAGTAATTTCCCCGCTCCCGACAACATACGTCCGCACAAGGTGAGTCAAGTACAAACGTATATTATAGTTCTTGACGTCTCATTGCTCTGTGTCATGCAAGCTTTCCACGCATGCATTGTTTGACCCATGATAAGGTGGATACGTGCACAGCCTGTACTTTTTCAATGTGGAAACTTTATTCAACAAATGAATGTTGTATGTCATGTGAAAATGATAAAATGGTATTGGTTTAACGCCCCTATAAACACTTTTAGGTTATTTAAGAGGCAGGACCTCCGAGTTTAACGTCCATCTCCAAAATGACCGAACCAAAAGGGAAATCAGTGTAGAGTGTCTTTCCCAAGGACACAGCGTCGGGCCGAGCTGACGTTCGAACCCCCGAGCCCGCAATCTCACGATTATGAGTCCGGTAGCCTAACCACTGTGCTACCGACGCCACTTATGTGATGTGATGTGGCCAACATGATCTCTGGCACAAAATAAACGTACTTACCTACTTGCTTTTTGCTTGTTTACTTACATAGGTGTTTGCCTACTTACTTACTTACTTACTTACTTACTTACTTACTTACTTACTTACTTACTTAC